TTCATTCCATTCAAACGAATAAATGTAATAGGTGGCATACGCGGTACGTCTGACTCGCGAGTCATTTGTGCACGTGTTGACTCGCCTTCGACTACACACAGTTGAATCATTCAGAGTCATGCCGGGAGTCATGTTGGTGTAACTAACACATATTTATTTTCATAAACACATCCAAACCGACTCACTCAGTCAGACGCACCGTGTATGTCGCCTATAACATCAAAAGCAAATCGCGAAAATTTTGTTAAGAATTACAGTGCACACTTTCTTCTTTTGTGTCTAGTAGTTTTTTTAAGATTGGTCCAAAAAAATCATAATAAAGAAGAAGCAGGTATTTAAAGCACAGAAAAAAAAAAATATTATTAAAAGGACTATGTTCTCTTTGACGAACGTCAAAGGTCAAGTAGAAGTGGGAACTTTTAATTAAGAAATAATATTTTAAGGACATTTTTATCAAAGTTGATATATATGACATTTTAGCAGTTTTGTTACATAAATACTCCTACGACCACAGGCAAAAATATTGGCTACAAAATATAATTTTGTTTTTGCCATATATACGTTTTATCGGTCGACTTGCAAAATATTCGCATTCGCAAAAGCTCCGCATTAATTTTTGCGAATGCGAAAGCGAATGCGAATGTTAAAATTAATGCGGAAGCTCCGCGGTTGCGAATGCGAATGCGAATATTCGCAACAACCCTGATACGTATGTATGTAAGCTTGTTTATTTACGTAATTCGATAAATCGGATGAAGATGGTTGTGGTGCTAAGCGTTGTTCCATTGACAGTAAACCAAATCAGAGCTTAACGGGCCGCCTTCACATGCTTGAAAATCTCGCTTGAGTTCTGCTTTTTTCTCTCGTCATGCTAGCGAGATTTTCCAGCACGTGAAGATGGCCGATAATGAGAGTAATAAAATAAAATACATGGCGCTCCACGATTTTCTGAGCATTTGGCCAACTGTGGTCAATTGTGGTGGGTGTGCATTTATGTTAGCACAGTTTTACGTTCCGTCAGAGATGTTTTTTTGTGAGAAGCTTTTTCATTGCAAAATTACATTCAACTTTTGTAATAAATATAGTTTTTGAATGTTGCTTGCACCAGCGCTCGAACCTGGGTCGCACCGGGTGGGAGTGCGCACCTCTAACTACTCTAAGGCAGTAGAATTGCAGAAAGAAGATCAACTTTAGTAAACTAATTCTTCACAAAAATTTGTTATGTAAACACAAGTTATTGGCAAATGAGCAGCGCATGTATATACCCAGTAGGGAAAGAAACTAGTTTAAATATCGATATTCAACCAGTATTTTACCCACCACAACTAGTTGAAGATCTGACTTTCTTCCTTCGAACGAACTGTTGACATTAGCATGTCGACGTCCTAGGCATCAATCAATTATCCGACTCTGCATTTGATTTTCACTAGTTTAAAATGCATTTGGCTTAAAGAACTTCAAAGTCAGTTTGTTTCGTTCGCGTTTCGCGTGTTCAAACAAGCTTTCGTTCCGTACTTCACAGACGCTTTTTCACATTTCCAAGACACAAACACAACTTTATTATTACTTCCACATGTTGTCTCTTTTGGGATTCCAACCCGGACTTTCTGGAAGGCATCTTTGACGCTCAGCTACAACCAGACATGTGAATGTGCTTTCAGATGTTCAGTTTGAATTGTGTGCGAAATGTACTTGTTAATTTTTTTAAATATATTTTATATTTAATCATTTTTACGAACAGTTGCCGCAGTGAAATCCGTCAGAGTAAACACAATTGCGGCGCACGACGGCTTCTGTCAGTTGCCATTTTGGTTTGAAAATTATCATTAAAATTAAATATTTTTTCGGTGCGTGCGTGGTGGTCCAAAAATGCACGGGAAATTTAAAAGTCAGAATTGTAATGCTCTCACCCCCTAGGATTCTTCTGTATCGAAAAAAAGTATACCCCTATTTTTTTTTTTTGAAATCAAAAAATATTTAGATGTCGCTCAAAGCGCTCAAAGTTTTCCATGTACTTTTGTATGGAAAACAACAACTTTTCGTAGGAATAGTATAGAGTTCTTAAAAATAAATATTTTTCTTTCGAAAGATTCTGTTTCTCTGCAGGAGTTTCCCAATGATAATATCCAATTGTTAGTTAATCATTTTTGCATCGCAACTATAATTTATAGGTCCGCCAAAAACTCACAAAAACCCCGAAAAATTCAATGGGGGACCAATAAAAAGTCGTTAGTATTAAAAAATGCTTAAATAAATAATTGGGTATTACTATGGAAAGTCTCCTGAAGAGAACCTGAGTTTTCCGATCGAAAAATATTGATTCTCAAGAATTCTATACTATTTCTACGAGAAGTTGTTTTTCTTCCATACAAAAGTACATGGAAAACTTAGAGCCCTTTGAGCGACCTCTAAATATTTTTTGATTTCAAAACATTTCGATATAGNCCATACAAAAGTACATGGAAAACTTAGAGCCCTTTGAGCGACCTCTAAATATTTTTTGATTTCAAAACATTTCGATATAGAAGTATCCTAGGGGGTTAGAGCATTACAATTCCGACTTTACAGTTTTTGGACCACCACATAGATTTTCTGGAAATATGGATGAAAACATTGGCAAACTTGGGAAAATAATAAAAATTACTACAATCAACATTGTGCCATCCCCGCTGGGTGGTAAAAATATAAATAAATTTAAATCAACCGAAAAACGTCGGTGATAAAAAGGCTACCGCCGCAATTATGAGCCATTCCATATGCCTTTGTGAGTTTTAATTTTGACAGCAGTTAACCGTCATACGAGACTTTTTAATTAACTCCATAGTGACTCCTTCTGCATTCTTGCGACCATTTTTAATCACCTCCAAAATATTTTCTATATGTTGACCAACGGTAATGAGGTCTAGTTATTGTCTTCATTTGCAAAATGTTTGCTGTATGTTCCAGCAACTTTGAATATTTAGCAATTGTCATTAAAGCAATGATGAACATCGATCGGCCTTGTTATAGCAGCACGTAAATAATTGATACGCAGACTTTCTTGTAGAAAAGTTTCCCTGAATTGACAACTTTTCTAAGGCTTTCTCAACTTCAGAAAAATTTTCTGAAAACTTCCTGGTAGCTTTATATATTTCCGACCATCTTGTTTCACACAAACGTGATATATTAGGAGCATAATTCTTGAGTGTCGTTGATTCGCTAAAAGCAAAGCTGTAGGGGGAGGGAACTGCCCTCTACCCTCTGCCCCTACCTGGCTACCCCCTTGTGTGTATCGTTGCCTTAATCCACAAAGACCCTAACCAGCAAATTTTTGGATAAGATTATTAAGTTTTGATGGTTTCTCGTTTTTTAATCTGAAAAGTGTATGCAATGAGCTTTTTTAAAAGTTTTAAACATATGTATATTTTTACCGTTCTTGCCTCAAGGTATCCATTTCTATGGTTTCAATAACCGGAAAATATATTTTGATTTTTTTTAAGATCACTGCCTGCTGTTTTCAAGTTAAAAATAAAAAAATTCAAAATTATTACTCTAAGAATTTTAATCGTAGCATAGCTACGTGTAGTCTCTTCACGGAAAAATGTCAAAAATACAATTTTTGAAGTGAAATGTACATTTGACGTTTTTTTATTTTCATATATACATATATCAGAGAAGCAGGGGCGGATCCAGCGGGGGGGTTTTGTCGGTTAAACTACGTTTCAGTCAGTGGCGGACCCACGGGGGGTGTTTTAATACATAGACGCCATATTATACAAACATATGCGCCATATTAATATACACCCCGTGCGTCAGCCACTGACTGACACGTAGTTTAACACCAAAAACCCCCCTGCTGGATCCGCCACTGCAGAGAACCATGAATACCTATAAACTTTTGAATAAGATTAAACAAAAAGCGTCCTTTAGTTGTTCCAAAAAATATTTTTTTTTTATAAATTAAAAAAGGTAACTCCCAATGAAATAAATAAAAATATACATATGTATGTATGTGTAAAAATTAGTTTTTTATTATTTTATTTAAAAGAACGGTTTTTGAGTTATCGAAAGAAAAAAGAAAACCTGGCAATTCTCCCACGAGTAGTTCGAAAATAAGGCCTTCTCAAAACCATATCGATTAATATTCATATTGTAATAATTAATTTAACTTATTAAATAATTTGAATTTAATTGTATAACAGGTGGTAGCCCTTTTCAAAAAAATAAAACCTCATTGCACATCTAAAGGTCAAACTCTTTAATTTGTCACCTAGTTTTTGAGAATGGAACGCACTAAATATACCTACAGTGGGGAGCAAAAACGGATACATCGTGATTTTTGTTAAATAATTGCAAGATTTTTAAAGTAAATTTTTTTTTGTTATTTTTTTATTAAAACATAGTTCTTGCTTTAATCGAAACCATATAAATAAAACTTTCAAATTTTATACAGAGCTTAGGAAAATACAACAAAATTTTACTAAACTTTTTTTTTAATCGAAATTTTAATAAAGTTTTTGGGTACGCAGTTTTATAGCCTGTTAAATTTTAGTGTATCGAAAAAGTGCAAAAAGGCATTAGCAAAAAAAAATATTAAAAATCAATGCGATATTTCAGCCGCATTTTATAAAAATTCAGATTAAAAAGTTCAAATTTTTAATGAATTTTTCCAGGATCTGTATAACGCTTGAAAGTTTGACTTGTATGGTTTCGGTTAAAACATAAACTATTTTTAATAAAAAAAAGAAACAAATAACTTTAAAAACCTAGTCAATATTCAACAAAAATCGCGATGTACGCATTTTTGCTTCCCCCTATAAATGTTGAATTGCAAATTGCTTTACAGTGAAAGTATCCGGATGGAAGTTATCAAAAAATTCAAGTTCAAATATTCATTTCAATCCGTCCATAATTATATTTTTGAAACATTTTATATGGAAGGAAAGCACTGTGCGTCGATATGAAAAGTAATTGCATGGCTTGAAATTCGAAGCATTACATACTGACGCTCTAACACATACCTTGATCCTTGACTTTCCTTTTCGGTGTTTTTTTCAATTCTTATAGAAGCAATTGATGCAACGTTCACACACACACAAGTTTAGTCATTCAAGATGGAAGTATTTGCCTGAAAATAGTTAATTTTTACTCTAGCCGTTTTAATATATTATACTCTTAACAACACTGTCACAAAGCACACAATTTTTTCATTTCTGTAGATTTTCTGAAATTTCGTCAATTTAATTGATTTATTATTATTTTTTTTTAATTTTGCGTTTTTGAACAATACTATTTAAAAATTCACCTCGCTATTTTGTGAAGATAAAAATTCGTATGTTTTTTTTTCGTAAATTGGTTACATAAATCGGTCAGGCACACCTAAACCGTTTTTAATAACCAACGCACGAGTCGAAACGTTTTTGGGCAGCGTATGCGCGCGAGCTATTCAAACTGTACCGGTGAAAATGCCAACTTGGACTGAACTGAAATCTTCAAGTTAACTGAAATATTGGCTGAAGACGTCCGACAGATAGAAGCTGCACCAAATACGCCAAATGGAATGGAAATGCCAGTACAATCAGATGATACAAGAACAACAACAAAGGGAGAAGCTGTATCAAACAATTTGGCAGCAACGATATCAACAGACGGCAGCTGCAGCAACAGCAGCAAGTGGAAGAGCAACAACTGATACAACAACAGAAACAGGAAATATATCAACAAAAGTCAGAGCAACAAACGCCACCGCCAGACCAGCATCAGTCAAAGCAACAAACACAACAATTAATAAAAAATACTATAAACCAGCCACCTTTATCGAAGCACAGAAAGCAGCGAATTAACCAAAAGAAACGAGACAACAACAAAAAGTTACCTACAATCATGGATTGCGTAGTAAGCGGTGTGGCGAGCGCTGGTGTTGCTGTTTTCATGGGTATTGTTGGTGTTGCCATTATGTCCGCTGACCTATAGCGCAGCCACAATGATGCACAGCAACAATAACAACCAGAGGCATCAGGAGAGTTAGCGCCAGTGACACCGAAGAAATGAGAGACGATCATCTCAGCCTATGTAGGTACATATATTTGTGTGTGTAGTTGTGTGCGCTGGAAAGTTTTCGAGTATTCAAGGTAGGTACACCAAGATAAAGTCCAACTTGTGCGAATAAAAATTTAAGTTAATAAAAGCACATAACATGGTAATAGAATTGCAACGGATAGCGATAACGGGCTGACTGATGGCGAACAACTGATCTAATCCATCGGAAAATTCGGTCGGATAAACACAATTTGGACGGGAACGGTAAACGCTATTACGACGGAAATTGCCTAAAACGACCCGGCGGGTAAAGCGAATAGAAATGAATGTAAGATATTTTTCCACCGTAAAAATAACCGACGGCAAGCAATGCGTCCGCGCCGCAATTCTGTCGCGCCCACATGCCATTCAATGTGTTCTAATTTTGACAGCGGGTACCCGTCAGCCCGTTACCCGCTATCCAGCTGCAATTCTGTTTACCACATTATGTGCGAAGACGAGAAGCAGAGTGCGAGTTCAGTTTTGGACATTGGAATGTAAAAACTTTTTGGTGATGTTATTGATTTTTAGACAAATATTCTTAGCTTAAAAAACTCATTTAACAGATATATGTATATGTATATCGTCACCTGAAATGCAAAGAGGCGTAACAAACATCGTCGCTGAAATGCAAAAAGGCGTAACTAATAAAAAATTCACAATTCACTTTTTGATTGATATATCCATCATGTTTCATCGAATTACAACTCCCACATCATTTTATGAAAAGTAAAAAAATTATTAATCCCGACTTTTTACATTTCAGTTACGATGTGGTTACGTCTTTTGGCATTTCAGGTGACGATAGTATGTATGTATACAATTATTTAGCATACTTGTAAATAAAATAAAGATATTTAAAAGAAAATTAGCCGCTTTAATAATAGAGGAAAAATTGACGAATTTTGAGCAATGTCTATGACGTGGGTCATGAGCTTAAAGTGAGGGCTGGTGTCTCAACTCTTCATTTACAGATGCATGGCGAAGAAGAGCTTCTTCACCTCTTTTAATGAGCATATCAACGCAGGAGCTGTATGAAAATAATCTTTTGGCCGAGTAGACCAGGTATTCCTTGGTTCGCCACCTATTGTACCATTCTCGCTTTCTCACATTCAATGTACCGTCCAAAAGTTGGGCGAATATTCTGCTTTGCAATGATAAGGATATCATCTATAGTCCTTGAGAGCAAGGAAATAGACGGCGTTATTCTATCAAATTCTGAGGTAGGGCGTTCTTGAAATGTTTTCTGAGACAGGGCATTTTCGAACTGGCTGCCGAGATAGGTTGATCTTCTACTCAGTCATCGATATGTTGATATATTAGAATTACAAGTAGAATCCTCCACTTCTATACGTGCATGGTAAAAAAAATTACCCACCCTGATGTATATATGTACACAGATGAGGTAACGGATGGATTCTTTGCAAAAGGTCCCAATATGGACAGTGAAGAGCAGATGACACGCGAGTCAGGTGCGCACCGTCTACACTGAGGGAACAAAATATTAAAATCAAATAGAAACGTAATTGATATTACTATAAACGTCAACGAAAGTACTGTATATTGGTAAATATTCAATTCGCACATATTAAAATGACCTCCTTCGTACTGAAAAAGCATCCGTGAAGTGAATAATCAAGACAAAAACTAAAAAAAAAATTAATTTGCAAGCTGCCTGCGTGGTATTAGAACCGGACCATCTCCGGATACAAGTTGTGGCAAGCATCTTTGCGCACTCAGCTACACCCAGGCATATAAATTTCTTTTCAAATGTTGAATATTCATCAACACCACAGCACGGATAAACATGTATGTACTATGTATATATGTGTGTGTTGTCACCATGGTGCATGGAAGTGCACTCTCAGAGCGGCGCTCTGCATGCTTGGGGTGCGTATGTACACTTTACATATATATACATACTCAGATGTGAACAGTAAAATACGTGCGTAATAAATTTTGTATGAAAATATTATTTTTAAATACGAACATTTTTAAACGATAATCAAATATAAAGTATTCATTTTTACTATGCATTATTTCCCTCAGTGTATGGCGCTTATAACTCTTTAACGTTTTGACATTTTCCATAGAAATATAATTTAATGCGTAGGCCAAAAAAGTTCTTAAAATACATAATTAATGAATACGATTGATAGATTATCGCTTTCGATTTAACTGCGTGAGAATAAATTCTGGAAATTTTGCAAAGTAAAACGCTTTCAAACCACAAAAAATTCACTCTTAAAGTTATATAAGAAATTAAAACAATTAGCAATCTAATTTCACTAATGACCTCACTGGCATTTATCCACTTGAACTAAATATTAAATTTTTAAAGTAGCAAATCGAAAAACATTGCCATAACTAATGGATTAAATTTAAGTCAATTAGTTAAAATAGCTTAAGTGCTTATAAGCAATAATTTAAAATTTTATCTATTTTATTAACAAAAACGAGATATGTACATAAATGTGTATTTTTATGCAATTTATACTTCATCAGGATGGTTGAAGTTGAAAAAATTTAGTAACAATTTTATAAATTTTAAGTAATGATGACTTAAGCATCTTACACCAATGCCATACTGACTTGCGTAGAAAATTAAAATAAAACGCGCTAAGCTTAGAGAGCCTTTGCTTGTGTTTTTAGTTTGATCATATTGAGCGCATTGATGACTGTCATTCATCAAAGTGTCAAAATGATGCTAGTCTGCATGCTTCTTCCATACGAGCATTTTGTTAAATTTGTTATGTTTTTAACCTTTTAACTTTTGGCTTCCAACGTATGTAAATACATATGTATGTACATTAGACCGTATCGAAAGAAAGGTTCGGCGACTCAGGGGTAAGAGTATTAGGTATTTATTTTTGCAAGATAATTTAAAAAACCACAATACAATTTTTGCCTTACGTAGAGGTGCCAATTCCGACGAATCTGCTGGAATTATTTTACAAAGTATTTTCAATTTTTAATTCTATATCGCCAGCTGTTAAAATATCTGCATTTTACATTCGAACTTCAACTATGTAAATATTTTTATACCTTTCATGAGCATGAAATGGTATTATAACTTTGGTCCGATGTTTGTAAGTACCAGAACAAAAAGAGATAGACCCATGAAAATGTATACTTATATGATCAGAACGTCGAGCTGAGTTGATTTAGCCATGTCCGTCTGTCCGTCTGTCCGTCTGTCTGTCTGTTTGTATGCAATCTAGTCTCTCAGTTTTCGAGATATCCGGATCAAATTTGGTAGGTGGGTGTATTTTTATAATGTATTAATCATTTGTCGGAACCGGAAGAATCGGACCACTATAACATATAGCTCCCATACAACTGATTGTTCAGATATGAGATTTTTCATTATAACTTCTCCATTTATGCAGCTACGAACATGAAATTTTGCAATACTTGCACCCATTATCAACAGAATACTTACAGTGAAAATTACAAAGATCGGGTCACTATAACCTATAGCTCCCATACAACTGATTGTTCAGATATAAAATTTTTCGTTATAACTCCTCCATTTATATAGCTGGGAACAGGAAATTCCGCACTGTTTTCAATAATTATCAACAGAAAACTTACAGTGAAAATTAAAAAGATCGGATAACTATAACCTATAGCTCCCATACAACTGATTGTTCAGATATGAGATTTTTCATTATAACTTCTCCATTTATGCAGCTACGAACATGAAATTTTGCAATACCTGCACCCATTATCAACAGATTACTTACAGTGAAAATTAAAAATATCGGGTAACTATAACCTATAGCTCCCATACAACTGATTGTTCAGATATGAGATTTTTCGTTATAATTCATCCATTTATGTAGCTAGGACCATGAAATTTCGCGCTGTTTTCACTCATTATCAACAGAAGACTTACAGTGAAAATAACAAAGATCGGGTCACTATAACTCCTCCATTTATGTCCTAGGTGCACCATTTTCACTCAATATTAACAGAATACTTACAGTGAAAATAACAAAGATCGGGTCACTATAACTCCTCCATTTATGTCCTAGGTGCACCATTTTCACTCAATATTAACAGAATACTTACAGTGAAAATAACAA